AGATAACCTTGAAGTATCTGGCCCTATAATTGAGAGGGCAGGCAAAGTGGCATAAACAAACGCAAAGTAGAGTGGGAAGCAGACACCTAGCCTCCGTCTCCACAGCCTACCCACAACCTCCAAGCAAGAGATTCTATCAGAAAGGACATATGACTCCGCATGCTAGATTTACATTGGAATGCAACTCCTCTACCTCACACAAGTTAGCACCAGCATTTTAGAATAAACCAACAGTCAGAACAACTACTTCTAATCCCCATTATTCACTAAAGATAATTATTTGATTTGCATAACACATTTTTGCATACACAAAAGTTTCTCCATAAATGTGTGCAGTACATAATTCTATGATAACTTCTAACAGATTGTTTACATAGTCTACAGCACAATAAACTCCTAGTAGGATGGTGCTGACCTAAGCAACATATAAACCATATTTGTATGCTACCAAGAGAGCTTCAGTGGAACTGATCAGGTTATAAAGCAATGGTAAAGAAGCTGGATTAGGGTTCGATTAGGGAGAGCTTTTTCTCAATTGTTATTCTGACCTTTAACTATTGCATGACGGAGGCCTTTATTTTGGGTGTGTCGGAATCGGCAACAAAGTACCTTATCCGGTAAAATAATTACAAAAACAGACACAATTCAAAGCCGTTACAGGCAATTCATCGGATTAACTATAAACTCAGCACTCACTTAAGTTTGCACAGCTTTGGTAATCTTTAAAGTCTTTGGGATGACTATGTTTTGGGGGCACAGGTGACGATCCAGGAAGGGAAAACAAAAGTGGTGATCATCCGGGAAAATGCGAGGAGTAGTTAGTCACTAGTTTGCTCTGCCATGAGGCCTGCGATGACTATCACTGGGCACTTTCCCTAAACAAGCAGAGAAAGCGGCTACACAGGAGGCCAGCAGGGTATGCTTATTGACATGCACTGGGCAGCCCATTTGTATGCATGTAAGGGCATAACGGAAAATAAAAGACATGGCACGTGTATAGTGTCAAACATGGGAACTGGCTGATTGGAAGATGACCAGTCAGACAGACTGGGTTTCCAATTCCTTTTAGTAAATGGCACTGGGAATGTTGCATCGAAAGGATATGAAACTTTCCATAAACAAAGAATGACTGCAGCACCCTACCAGGTGAGAAACAGCTGAATAAACAGTGGAGCAGACAATAGCGAGAGCTCTGTGATTACCTCAGATGAATGTGCTCACCTATCCATCCTCACTGTCATTCACTGAAGAGGGGATGTGAAAAAACACCCACAATGGGGATAATCAGCCCCTCTATGCTGCAGGTGGTGGACTGATGTCACGCGGCAGCCGTTTTGTCAGTCTCTGGCTAACTGTGTGCCCTTAAGACAAAAGGACTGGATTAGCCACTTAACAAAGATAAGAATCTGGATGACATGCCGCCACAAAGCAGCCATATATGCCATTGGCCTGGGATCATATTAAATAAATTCTCTGAAAAACTGCACCCCAGCTCTATCATTTCCTCTGCCAATGAATCACATTTACAACGACACTCATGCATGCCGATACAGTTCCCTCATCGTGACCCAAAGCGATATGAAACCGCTTCTCCATGCTGTCTCTCCTTAGCCAGTACTCCCACTTTTGTTCTAGCCTAAAGACGTCAGGCATTGTGATTTGTCTCCTACAATGTTATCCCCATGTCAGAGAATGTGAAAGCAAGCAGAGTCGTGCCCGTGGACTTTTCGTTTGTCTTGTAAATTCGAGTTCCCTGCTCTCCATCAGTGCCTGAAAGACATCACAAAGGAATTTGGAAGCTGGCCCACCTGTGCTGATATCAAACATCCAAGACTCCAAGGGCTGGCAAGTGGGTATGTGTGCCTCCAGATGGGAAAGCCAAGAAAAACTCAACTTAATCATCTCCCATTCTCTCATTAAGAGGTTTGTTTATCCCTAAACACCAGAACGGGCCTTTCTTAGTGTGAGGGTCAGATAAGCAGGCTGACATCTCCAGCCAAAGATGCGGGGAATGCCTTTGTTTCATCTGTAGCCACTCAAATGGCCCTGTAGTAAAAACAAGATAGAAAAAAGACAAATGCTTGAACAAAAACAGCTCTCGGTCATGTAGCCTCAGGTCTGTTGTGAAGGTGGTGTTTTAGGGTAATTGCAGGTGGAGACAGGAGGGAAAAATGCTACTGAGCCCTTATATAATTGTCTCAAGGAAGACTCAGGTTATTTTTTGATAATGCTCATCACTCATGCACCAAATTACCATCACGATTCACTCTAGCAATATCACTCTCTATTTCCTCATGACATCACTGATTTAATAAAAAAAATATCCAGGGATATGTTGCCTTGGGTTAAATGAGCCGTGCAGTAAACTGAAGGAAAGCTGACATTAGTTAATCCTTTATATCATTTTTATTGCCAGGAGACCCAGTGTTGGGTAGTGAATAAACAGAGAGATGCACACACATAAGCACCGCTGAGAAAGCTTACACTTGATATGCACTTGCCATCTTTGGACATCCTATCACCGTGGAAAAATTATTTCTGCTCCTACAGCATCAGAAGGATGTGTACTATCCTACCGGTCATATGATTGCAGGAAATGGGCGTGACTATGGATCATACAAATATTTGGTTGCCAGAGAAACGGCAGAATATTACAGTAGTCTGCACAGAGTCCTGACCCAACAGAATGTCTTTGGAGGAATTGGGGGCGGAAAGAGGGCAAAAACATGACAGCTCTATTCTGTACTGGACTTTTCTAAGCCCTCAGGTGGACTGGAGCATAATATTACCAGCTTTCTACTGAAGTTCTTCAATTATCTGTGCCATAATTGCCAATATTCTTAAGAAAAAAAAATCACAATAATTTAAAATTTATGTTAGAAAGGTAACACGGTAGTGTCATTTATGAATAATAGGCAATTTATAAAAATAAATGAATTTCTTTGTCTGAAAATACACTTTTCGAACCTTGACGTAACTTGAAAATACTATGCGGAGAAAGTCTTCAAATGATGCGACTATTTTTTCCACATAGTTTACATCCCCATCTGAGCAGACGCCTCCAAAAGGGGCAGGTTAACTGCTAAAACGCCCCTCTGCAAAAGGTAAACCTCATTTCCATCATTTCCTTATTTTTTATTTTTTTTTAAATGTCAGCATCGTCGGTAGAGACTATGGAAAAAAATGTCCGCTGGAATTGCTCTTAAACGCTGCCTCTGCTCCCTTTCATTTGGCTGATATCTGACATTTAAACAAGCTGGCAGCTTTTTGTGTTTCTACAATCAATCTGGGATATCCGGGACAGCGATCAGCGCCGAAACTGGAACTGCAGTTTTTAATTACAGAGTCACAGAGAAGCTGCCATGGGGCTTCCGGGAAGTAGGGAACCTAAATTCTGTAACCGGTCACACCAATAAATTTACTAGTAATAGTAATCAAACTGATAATTAACGCATGGTTCAGATGGAAGCACTGGAAAATTAGTTAATAGTCAGTATGCAAATATGTTTGTAACACACTGGGAAAAATTATTTTATCTAACCTGTGCCTTTAAATGCCTCTTTTTGATAGATTTATGCTGATATTTTATTGACACACTTATCACCAGCAACTTAATGTGATGTTGCCAGTTATTTTCTATCACGGCCATTAGGAATTCAAAAAAAACTACTGTAATTCAACATGATTGGCTCCTGTCTACAGTGTGAAAGTCACTTGGAGCGCAAGCTGCAATCACAGTGATTGACACTAGCAGGTGGTAAAAAGGGGGCAACCTCATTGGTTTCCCCTGCTCTGTTATTGCACTGAGTCACCTTTCTTTTCAGTAGGCACTAATTTATACCCTGACATAATTCTGCAAAAGAGATTCCGTTTCACGTCCATTTCAGATAAAAAGTTGCTAACTCATTTATCACCTTTTTCGAAAGAAATTTGCTTCAGTTCTATATAATACTGAGATAGTTTTTCCCCTCCCTACAAAGCATTATCAAACATTTTTCAACTTTGAAATGCACAGCTATCTCTTAAATTAGTATTGTATACAGTGTTAGACAGAAAATACAAACATAGTTGCTCTTTTTAGAGTCTAGAAATGAAAGGTTCACGGTTGAACTGGGTGAATACTGCCAGCAGATTCCAGCATTAGCATATGCATCTTGGTTTGATGAATAGAGGTTCTAAGTATATGTCATAATGGCCCAATATGCAATCTTAGTACCTATGAGTTCAAGGGCTCATGCCTGTCATGCCACACAAAGGCCACAATGACTAAAAAGCTAACAAAAAAGCAGATTAATCATCATAGTACAATTTAAAGTTGTAAAGCACTTCATCTTACTTGCATTTCAATGTGCTTGGTCCCGTGTATGGTATGCAAAATGATACATAATTACATACACATGTTAATAAATGTAAATGAGGGCTTTATTCATAATGTTATGATCAGCAGTGATCATTCATGCATTCTTTTATGAAAAACAAAATTTCAGAGTCAAATAAAAACGTAACTTGCAAAACTAATGAAGCGGCTCAGTTTATGTGGCTGCTCTTAATGGTCACTCATAAAGTTATGAAAATATAACCAGATAAACATAAATAACATTCTTTAAAGGAAGAGAAAAAGCAGTTCGCTCTGTGCTTTTATTGACCAAAGTTGGGGGGGGGGGGGAATGGAATAAATTTCCCCAACGTTCTCTCCTCCTTTAACTGAATCTCCTAATGAAGCATGTCCAGATATCCTTCCTGAAACAATGTCCTGGCGTAAGCGGTAATGTCAATATAATAACTAGCATGAGTCATTACATGGAGACATATTAGGAAAAATATGTGTGAGTCTATCACGAGCTTGGAGTGGCTTCCTGGAGCGAGCCTACAGCAGCTCTCTCGTTACAGCCGGGCCCGGGTGCTTCCATTGCGGGTTGTGACCCGTAGCTCCCATCTTGGGATGCCTGATATGAGAACTATGCATGGTGCGAGCCAATTTCCACGCACACACACACACACACACATGCAAACGATGTGGGAGAAAATCTTTACTACAAAATCCCTTTCATGGGTCTGGAGGAGCTGGCTGCTTGCACAGTGGGATGTGGCATGTGCAATAACCTCTGACTTTGTTGGGAAACAGTCCCATGCACTGCTGTTTGCTTTAGCCCCTGATGGCTAACTTCTGCTTCAGGAGCTCTGGGCTGGAGCCACTGTACTGTACTTCATAGCGCTTCACGGTTGCTGAGATTCCATCCTGGCAAATCTGCCTGTGTCTTTGTCCACTAAGGACCTGAGAAGAATTTATGGCTCTCTCCAGGTGGGGCACCTTCAACAGAAGACCACAGCAGTCAATATAGTGGGAAATATAGGAGACGTAGCCCCCACCCCAACCTCGTAGTCCTGCTCCTCTTCCTCGCTCTACACTCAGCAGGATCGATAGCAGCGGCTAGGTGAGTGGATCAATGGTAATTACCCAAAGGCCTTTGCTCTGTGTAATTACAACGCGAGGAGGGATTGGCTGGGTGCCACAGTGAGCCACAGTCAGGGTAGCTATTCTGAGACGTCTTTAGGATCGCCTCTTTTTTAACCAGTGTGAATGAATCTTTGACTGGCTCCGCCTTACCAGCGTCCTTATTCCAACTTCTCATCTACCTGGGATAACATCTACGGAGCACAGCCTTCCATTTGCGAACTTGCACCAGATTTATGTGAAAACACATAGCAATGCCACTTACACGTTAAGGGCTAGGGGTTCGAATCCCACCTCTGCTGTGTGTGTGTGTTTGTATGTTTGCAGAGTTTGCAAGTCCTCCATGTGTTGTGTGAGTTTCCTCTGGGTGCTCGTGATACTTGTGCATCCGAAAGACATGCAGTTAGACTAATCGGGGTCTCTAAGTTACCTGCCGATTGTGATTATGCGCGTGTGCTTCCTGTGAGGGCCTGGATACCCCAGCCTTGTGCCTTTTCATGCCTGGCATAGGCTCCAGGCCCTCCTTTGAGTAACTGGGACAAGCAGTTCATAGGTGGATGGCTGCATTTTGACTGTGCACACAAAAAGCGAGGGCACGATCAAAAACCTTTTGACAAACAGATTTTTTTTTTTAAATGTTAACATAGTGTCTCTATTGCCAAGCATTATATGAAGACAAATTCTTTCAATCACAATTCTTTGAACTGTAAAGTCACTGATATAGATTTGACTGATATTTATGTCACTGTGATATATTTCTTTATGAAATAGCATCATTATATATTTTTTTTAACATCACTACATTTTTTCCTTAATTCCCCCATTATATTTATTTACTTATATCAGCAATTGGTTGTTTTTTGCTCTCAGCTGTTTTATCAAATTAAATTGCCCAGCCATCATTATAGAGAACCATATTGAATGAGTTTATTTTGCATTTACATTTCATAATGGAACATTAAATGCTGACTATGTGCTATGACATTAATTACATGTGTGTGTTTAAATATTTTTATATATATACTCAAAAATCATCTTCTTCCAATCTGAAGTACAACAAGATGACATTTTCTTTGCAATCCATTGCTTACAAAGTGGCCACTTTTAATGCAAGCGGCCCGCTGTTGCATCATTCTGTTTAATTATCGTTAAATCAAGAAGCCAAAACTTATAAGCGTGTGCTGTCCTCCACTCTACTTTTGCTCTTCATGCAGATTATCTTTAAAAACAGGTAATTTATTTTTGACAGCTAAAGCTCGGAAACACTGAGAGCGATTAATTTAATTGCATACCCTTGTTCAGTGGATGCAGAATATATTACTTTAGTCAGCCACTTCTAATTTATAGTTTTTCGGTTTTCAAATGGCATAAATTTTAAGCAATACTGTTATTTTATGTAAGACCAATGGATTTGATTGATGACAGGACTAGTTTTTGAAGTAGAACTTCGCAACAAAGGACTTAGATCTCAAGTTATGTGAATGAAAAGAGCATAAACAGGGTGAATTGTCCTGATATGGTTGCATGAGATCTGGTGAACAGAGGGGGGAGGCGTCCATTTTGAAACGTCAATGATCATGTGGCACTTGGCACAGACGATGAACTCTAACGGCAAATCAATTGTGCAACACTACATTTAAAGTCCTGCTGACAACACGCAGCATTCTCAGACAGCCAAGAAGGTCCAACAAACTAGCGCATCACCTGCGACTGTGACAGATACCTGGGCATCACATTTCAGAATTTGTGGTTATCGTTTTTTCCCATCCAAGTCACACAAAGCAGGATAATGCCACAGCATAAATGTAACACTAATACGTTCACAAGGCCAATAACTAACCTGAGCATAACCTTAACAGCGAATGCTGTCTTTGAATCTGCAATTAAACCAAGTTGTAGTTCCTGTAGCGACTCTAATTATCAATGGAATTTTAGCATATGGCTAAACATTCTGTGACCCTGCATCTCTGATTTGACAACATTACTAAGCTAAATTGAATCCTCTATTTCTGTTCACTTACGCTGGCGACCGCATCATGAGAGTCATCTAATTGGTATTTATGGACAGTTCTGACTACGGATTCCCTAGAACAGCCTCCTCCTTTGCATTTTTTCAGATTATCCTGGCCTGCTCTTTCAGCTAATTAGCTCACTTCTGTCTAGTCATTCTCAATCTGGGTTGCTGCTGTGAAATGACCCCTTTTTTTTTTTTTTCCCCCCCCTTCTCCCCTCCTCCATCTTTGGCTGATGCGGTGGCGCAGTCAGGAGGGCCCCGCAGCGTTTGGATGCCAGAGATAGGGTGTCCGTGCCCCGGTGTACCCTCCAGGCCCAAGAATTCACCCATGCAGCTCCTACACATGCTAATGTCAGCTTTAAATAACACAGCACCATCCGTATCTCTGCTGAAAAGCGCCAGCAGAACACAATAAACAAACTGCAAAGGGCAGTCATGCTGCATTCTCCTCCTCAGGCTTCTCGAACAATGGGGACGGGAACAGAGTAGGCTACCTACTGTGTGGTGAGCCTCCGCTTTCAAAGTCTAAAGCTTTATTACTGTCATATAGAGGGGTCATTAGAAACATCTGCTACTTTCGGCTTTACGGCACAGCCAGGAATTCTGGGAGCAGTTAAAATGGACAATGGGTGAATGCCGAAGCACAGAGGGCTTATTTCACTCCTGCATCATTAGGCCTGTAGGATCAATACTCGGAGAGAGGTAGCTACATTCCAGATTAAATATTTATTTTTCAATTATGAAGAAAAAGATTTATGAAATTCAACACGGCCCGTCCCTTCGATGGCAGTGCCCGGCTCACATTCAGAAGAACAATTGCAAGTCTGGAGAATGCACATGGGGAAAATATCCGGGCGCGTTTAAAAAAGATTTAAGTTAAATTTTCATCATCATAAAGGAACAAAGCTCAACTGATATCCACAAATTATAGGCAATTGTTGGGTTTTTTTATTATTAATTTACTGAACCTGGGAACTGTGGAGACCACTTAGTTTATAGTACACTGCATTAGTACGCCTTAGGGCACTGTACAAAATCCGCTCTGTTCTGAAAATTACCTTAAGGTCCAATTTCTTTCGGCAACTAAAATGCACAGATTCCTTTAACACAGGGGTCATGTGCAGCTATCATGCAGTCACCATTGCATCATCCCTACCCCGGATTCAAACTTCACAGTCGCAATAACCTGTCATCAGCTTTCAGAGCTGAGCAATATGCCCAAACCACACGTGTGTTGACTTGGCATGCAATGACAAACCAGGAAGTGAGGTCACGGTACAGCTGTGTGAATAAAAATGCTTCTTAATACTTCTTAGCAAAACAAAATAAACATACAGAACAAAATTGAACAAATTAGGGTTTGTGTAAAATTAGGTCTGCCCCCTTTTCAGCTCTTAAAGGAAAAACTGATTTCCTTAATAAAAGCTTATAACATGCTCCAAAACCAAATATATCTTATATTACCAAGCAAGCTACATTTACAGTATTAAAACATACTATTAAATGCTTCATGGAGTATAACTATTCCACAAAATTCAAAACAATGTGATTGAATACCATAAAAAAAAAATCCAGTAATAGATCTTCAAGGGTAACATATTCACCTTATCCATTATGAGTCAGTGCATTTGGGGAGCTGTTTTCAACACAGTCTGGCTAAAGAGGACATTGCATGCCACCAAATTGAATTTTGAAGCATTCTGCATTAAAGTAATATGGAACTGCCATAAATAACTACAGTAAGTTACAGAAATAAAACATTGCATTTTGCCCCATTGTAAGAATACAGCATTTCAACTGTACGACTGTTTGATCCCATTTATAACCAAAATCCATGAGCCAGGTCCCATTCATTCACCATTATCCAAGCCTCTAATAACAGCTGCTATTTCTCCCCTAATTCAGGGCAGGAGGTGTCCTGCCTTTTATCCTGACTTTACTTTAATTGCTTCATTTCCTTGATTTGCATAGTAATATACTTCACCTGGTGCTGTGGGTCAAAATCACCCACTAACCGAAAGGTAAATTCTTAAAACTTTACAAGCTACATATGTTTATCTGCATACCTGCACATGTGCGCGTCAACAACTGTTGTTCTTTGATGTCCTTGTTGTCAGGGCGTGTTATATGTTACCGTACACCACAGCATTAGAGATTTTGTTGGAACGTTGGAAATACAGTTTTTGAAGCCTTCTCATGGTCCCATCGCACAGGAGAAAGGACTGGCTGAGTTCGTTTTTGTCCAGACATACTCACTAATAGCAACAAAACATTATTAAATGTCCCATAGAAGAAGAACTAAAAGGTACAGGGTGGGAACTCTGGGTGCTGTGGAACACTCAGCCAGATGCGCTAAATTAACAACAAATAATGTAGCTAATTGATATCACCAAGGGAACCCCCTGCACACACTAATTAGATAATGCAATAACTGATTTTAGTTAGTTAGCTGTATTTTTCCACACTGCTGTTTCCAAAAAAAAAAATACTTTGACATTTCTGTTTAAAGTCCCAAATGACTGCATTTTTCTAATAAACGTCTGTAACAAGACACAAAGTGTTTGACAGGTTACTGGGCTCTGAAGTCTCTGTTGTTGGCAGTTGCTCCGATTTCTTCCTTTTTGACCTTGAAGTCAAACTTTGTAGCTGCTTTGAGTTTCGGCCCCACTGGTCTGCTCTGCCACGCTGTCTCACTGGCGAAGCAGAACAGCTTAATTATGCACTATTTAAAACATTTATGTGCCATCATGGGACCTGATGTTTCCCCATTGATTTGAGTCTGTGGTTGTGAGAGCATGTTTATGATCATCGGTTGAACCCTAGACAGTCATACCACTAAGCTGAGCCGTGGAGGAGCTTAATCTCTGAGGCTGCAAAGCTTGGTATGCGTTTTATAATTCTCTTGCATTTATTTTATTATAGTGAATTTTGCATAAGTAATTTTTAGCAGAGCTCTGTGTGTATGC